GAGTGTGGCGGAGGCCATAAGAAATTTCCTCGTTTCAATGGATTTGACACGAGAACTGTTCTTCGGGGCTGAACGCTTGAACCGACTTGGCCGTCCACAGGTGATCGGTTTTTTGCATAAGATTCACTTGAAAGGTACGAAGTAGTGCAGAGCCCTTCACTAGGAGTCAAATGTATTTACTCCTGGGCACCATACGCATCTTCATACCGCAGGAGTACCCACACTGACTTAAAAAACTTGCCTTACTTACGTTGTGCCACAGAGGCTGTTTATGAGTTTGTACATAAGATAGGATGCTAGACATTGGTAAGGGAAAAGTCTCCCGAAAACTCACCATGGATTTCCTAACCTGGTTAAACAGTTTTTCATACTTAATTAAATGGTTAAAAGATCGTTGCGGTGTGAGCAGACAGAATGCTACAAGCAGTGGCACGTGGGACGCACCAGCTATTGTTGAATAAAATCGTGTTGGATACTATGGAGGACACGCCAAGAAGTGAAAGGCAGCTTTGCCAAATGATACAGAGTCTTTGACTACACAACTGAGCCGCCATGTTTGATGATCGACCTTCAACGCTAACGCAAGTGCGCAGGTGAACTGGGTGTACACCCTAGTCTACCACACCCTGGTGACCTAGCATTCCTCATCTGCCACCTAAGAGCTTACTGTTCACATTGCAAAGTGACTCACCGCTAGTACATCCAACAAACGATGTCTGCTTTGAGAGTACTGACAGGATTGTGACAGTGGACCATGTTTAGTGTCAGTAAAGATGACTTCGGTGGTCTTGTCCTCAGTCCCATTTCAAATTTGAGGGCATTAAGAAGTCCTTTTTGTCGTACTTGGCACCGCGGTTTGCTGTCCTTCCACCGCCTTCCTTAAAGGCTGCTAAATGCTCTGACGGTGCCCTCATAAAGGTGTGCTAAGAACCCCGCATGAGCTATGCAGGCTACTTTCATAATGAGCCCTTGCAACTAGTCCTTCAGTCATCCAGACAAATAGGGCCTGCAAGGGAATGTCGACTAGATGCTACATTTTTGATACTTTACTTTTAAGCGTGCAACCTATTAACTAAACCGGAAAAGAATATTATCATAATTTAGAATTAGGTAAATCTTCTAGAATGGAATTGTTTTTACCATATGGGTAATATATGAGTTATTTCAGACAAAGTCCTCTCGAAACGCTTGCGACCACAGAGTATTTAAGATAAGTGTATTCGCTTGCGCGACGACAAAAAAACCAGCTATGAGTTGGCAGATTCCTTGCCTGGTACGCATTTATAGTAGAAAACATACGTCAGGCAGAAACGTAACTCGACGTTAAGAAACACGGAACAGTCCTAAACACGCGAAACTGGGCGATCACAAATTGTTCATTGTAAATACTGTACTTCTGGGCCATATTTGGGATATATACAACGTTAAAAGCATTTTTATACTATGTTGATATATCTTATGTTTAGGTCGCCAGTTATTTATTGGTCACGATAGCACAAATTGACCTTAGACAAGCGAATGGACGGCCATTCTGAGATAATAATTACCCTTTCTTGATAAATGTAGCCCACCGTCTGACAGCGGCTGATTAGCCTGTCTATCTATTTGTCTGTCTTAAACTTCAGTATAACCGAAATATCTGTTGCTAAGGTCAACAATTTCTGACGCTGTCAGTGAGGTGTCAAACAAAGCCTTGTATGCGAGTAGAGAACGCCTGTATATGATTGACTAACTGAGAAGGTATGCAGTTCAGGACTGATTTCAAACCAAATTAATGTGTTTTGCTCCAGGTCTTATTAACGATTCTACCTGATACACAACGTCATAAAATGTTTGCTCAATTCCTCTAGGTACAAGAAATGCTGGCTGAATGCACTTGTAACCCGCCCTTCTCGATGGTTTGTGTCAGTGAGGGTCGTTATGTTTTTGGAGGCAGTGACACCCCCGTGTTTGTCCGAGTAAGTGACCATTTATGGTTATCACCTATCATACGGACCCTTCTTTCCAAGTTTACCGTAGAAACATAGTGTGATCTTGTATAAAACCGAACATTTTGCTGTTATTGGCCAAATTGCGTTGGATTTTGAGGGACTGACTCGCTTAATAATTTTTTTTTCTCTTAGCTCCTTCGGGGTCAGGTTATGGTGCGCGTTGATGACGACTGGGACACACTAAAACACTTCCTACAACAGCACGATGAGTGCAGAAAAGTTACGCTTCAGGGTAAGTTCAGAAATAATGGGGATATTTTCAGTTACACATATCGCCTTATTTACATTTAAGAGAGACATCGGACCGAAGAACATGAGTGTCGATAGGTTTACACTTAGAAGGAGAACGGAAGCTTCCACACTGTACGCCATTGTGGTTAAGCATGACGAGCGGTTACAATTAAATTGACCCTTTTCTTCTGATCGCAAGGTTCGTAATCAGTGGGCAAAGCCGTTCAATACTGATCTAATCGATTTGAAATGATCCATGAGTTAAGTACCATTTAAATGGGCGCATCATTTTAGGTAAGGCTACGGCTGCTAGTCGAAGTGTGAAGTGCGGGAAATCATCGAAAAAGGCTGCTTTTGCAGTCCCTCTGATTTCATTTAACCGTGAGTGAATCCTGCAGGCAGACCCAGCTATACCTTGGTGCAATAACCAAGAGGAAAGCTGAACCTTAGTTTTTTCCTTTAAGGTGCTTACTACTAATGATTAGGCCGGTACCTCCCGGCAGCCGTCTTACAGTCTAGTAAAATTAATTTTCATAAATTTGGATTTTTGGCTATTTGTACATCGTATGACGGTAAAGAGGCTTCCTCTTAGACCAACCATTTCATCTTCTCACCACTAGATAGCCTAGCGGAGGAAAGCCCTGCTGATTGGACGGAGGGTCCCTTCCAATCGGAAACGCCCAAAGAATTTACGTTCCAGGAGTTAGATCAGGAATCGGACAACCGTAAACTTACTGCTACGGATCAGAGTCTTATTAATCCGACGATGATTACCTCTCAACGGGAAATGCCCAAAAAATTTACGTTCCAGGGATTGGATTCGGACTTAATTGACCTCAAGCCAACTCCTACGGATCAGAGTCCTATTAATCCAACGATGGTTTCCGTACAACGAGAAACGCCCAAAGAAGTTATGCCCCAGGACTTGGATTCAGATCTTATTGACCTCAGACCAACTCTTACGGATCAGAGTCCTATTAATCCAACGACGGTTTCCGTGCAACGAGAAACGCCCAACGAATTTATGCCCCAGGACTTGGATTTGGATCTTATTGACCTCAGACCAACTCCTACAGGTCAGAGTCCTGTTAATCCGACGACGGTTTCCTTGCAACGAGACACGCCCAAAGAATTTATGCCCGACATATCGGATTCGGACCTAGATGACATCAAACCGACTCCTACAGACCAGAGTCTTTTTAATCCGACGACGGTTTCCTTGCAACGCGAAACGCCCAAGGAATTTATGCCCGACGTATCGGGTTCGAACCTTGATGACCGCGAACCGACCCGCACGGGTCAGATCACTGGTGATCCGACGACCGCCCCCTTGCAACTGGAACCACCCAAAGAATTTACGCCGCAGGTGCTGGATCCGGAACCAGACGATCTCAAACCGACTCCTACTGCCTACCTGGCAGAACTGGGTGAGAACCGTGCAATCATTCAGGATGACAATTCGTTTGAGGTAAGAACCAGTTAGTACGCTTAAATATCACCACTACCACCGATAACATCACCCCACGGTGTCGAGGAAATTAACTTCATTAAGGCTACTGCGACCCAATGCTGTTGTAGACAGCAACATGTAGTTTGATGTTGATGGAGGGAGGGGGCAGATTCTACTGATCATACTTC